GTCATGCATATTGGCCACATGGATTTGTTGGCTTGAACCAAGTGGAACTTCATATTTGCTTGCAAGGAAAAGAAGCCACGAGGAGATGAGTCACAGAAAAGTTCACATTTTCCATGAAGTAAAGCTGACTTGAATGTTAAATTACCTCTCCATCTAATTTTAACATGGTCTAATGAAAATCCTTAGCAAAAGAGAAAAGAAGAAGCGCCACCCAAACAAAAGAAGGCAAATAGGAAACACAGGGCGGAGCCGCTTTCAAAGAGTAGCTGTATTTGTGTATTTCAGAATGGTTTAACAAAAGCAAATGCAAAGCAAAATAAAAACAAATGTACTGTGGCTCTTTGAAGACTAACAGAATTATTTTGGTGGGAGCTTTCATAAATTACACTGAGTGAAATATTTAGCCATGGGTTTATATATAAATATACAGAGTAGAGGTGGAGATCCCAGTGGAAAGAGATAAGTATAAAACCTATAGTTGACCAATAGCCTTAATTAGGTCAAACTATAACTCCACAGGGATGTGGTGGCGCTGTAGATTAAACTGCAGAAGCCTCTGTGCTGCAAGGTCAGAAGACCAGCCGTCGTAAGATCGAATCCAATCAATGGAGTGAGCTCCCATCACTTGTCCCAGCTCTTGCCAATCTAGCAGTTTGGAAGCATGCAAATGCAAGTAGATAAATAGGTACAACCACGGTGGGAACGTAACGGTGTTCTGTGTCTGGTCATGCTGGCCACGTGACCACAGAAACTGTCCATGGACAAACGCTGGCTCTACAGCTTGGAAACAGGGATGAGCACCACACTCTCGAGTCAGACAGGACTGGACTAAATGTTAAGCGGTACCTTTACCTATAGCTCCACAGTTGTAAGGAAGGTAGGAATCAAAGCTTGGGAAAGTGTTGCTTTGGACAGTAGATTCCTGAATCCCCTAGGCAGGGGATAACCACTCGTTATTTTAAATATATATTTTTTAAAAAATTCCAGAGAGCTAGCCATTTTAGTCTGTTTTTACAATAACAAAAAAACAAAACAAAGCAAAGCAAAAATAGTATGAATGCAAGTCTAAAGAAGTGGACGGCAATCCAGGAAAGGTCTGAAAACCCCCCAAATCCTTTTGTTTTGTTGTTAAACATAATTAACAAACAACTAAAACATGTGGTACTAGGTAATTCTATTTCCTGAAGACTGCAATCCTAAATTTAGGATGGGGCCTAGCCCCTTTAAACCATCTGATTTTCTAAATAAACAGGCAGGGAGATCCTGCTGTCTGGTCGGCCACGGATTAAGTAATAAATTTCTGAAGCTTATGGGCATTTGTTACCTGGGAGGGATGACCTGTCAAAGCCAGGTAAGCACAGAGAGTTCAGCGGACATTTTTTCTCGCCCTGAGCAAGCGAATTATCCCCACAGCTGTTTAGACTATTGCTGTTTGAGTCATTATGTAAAGTCAGCTAAATGGACAGCTGGCAGGTGGAAGGATGGGACAGCCAAAGAGAAATAGGGAAGCTGATGATGATTGGGTTTTGTCAGTGTCCCTCATAGAGATGCTGGCTGGCAGTTGGAGAAAGATTCTGATGTTCTCTCTGTCTACTGGTGGAGTTTTAAAAGGGCTAGGAGAGGAACTTGGTGGGAAGGGCCTTCTGAACTAGACAGCTGTAGGATCATGTGAGTGCTTACAGCCAGAAAGATGAAAACGCACAGAGGACGAACACAGAATGAAAGGGAATGTCACAAAGAAAAGAGAAACAATTATCTCGTCTAATGCTGATAGGAAGTAAGTCTTCACCATTTGATTTTTCCAGTTCTTATTGCTCAAAAAAGTGACAAAAGCAACGTGGTATATGTCTCACGTTCTGTCTTTTCTTTTGTAGACAGTCCTGTATTTAGAAGTACCTATGCTCGAGTTTTTAAAACCTCACAGGCTGTAGGTATAACTGGGAAGGACCTCTCTAGGATGAGGTGACTGTGAATATATTCAGCACTAACCAATTGTTCCTGCTCGGCCTCTGAAGTAAAAAAAGAACCCTCCCTCTCTGCTCAGTGTTTTTTTTCCCTCTCTAGAGTCTGTTTAGGTCTGTTGCTGAAAGCAATCATGTTTGACAGTTTGCTGTTCATCTGTGAGTATATGAAGTTCTCGATTTATCATGACAGTACATGTCAATATAGCCCGTAAATTAAACGTGGGGGGGGGACATAAAGTATTGTTGGCTCCAAGGTGCTGCTTGTACATTTGAAAGTCAGCAATTATTTTTCTTCCCAGCTTCATTTTACTATTTATGGATTATTCCCTTAGTGTTTTGAACAGTTGTGATGAAATACTTGGGGTATATGAAATATAAAAGTCAGTTGTTGGACTCTTCTGTGCTCTTGTGAGTGCCTGGGAACACTCACAGGCAGAGATCAGTGTGCAGAGAGTTCATACCTTCATTTCGTCTCCTGCTGTTGAACACTTCAAAGAAAGAACTGAGCAAGGAACAGATGCTTCCATGCCTATCTTCATCAGAGGGCATATCCAAGTAGCCCCACACAAGGACCCTAACACCTTACCTGTAATTCTGTCATGAAAGGGGTCAGCCCTCTTCCATCTCCCAGAGTTATGCAGATTTGACTCTGAATATTTATTTAACCGGCATGTTGTTAGTCTGTGGAACTCCTTGCCACAGGATGTGGTGATGGCATATGGCCTAGATGCCTTTAAAAGTGGATTGGACAGATTTCTGAAGGAAAAGTCGAAGGTTGCAAGCCAAAATGGGGATGTATAATCTCCAAGCTTAAAAGGAAGGTACTTCAAAATGCCAGATGCAGGGGAGGCGTATCAGAAGACAGGTCTCTCGTGGTCTCGTGCGCTTCCCAGAGGCATCTGGTGGGGTCATGGTGAGGCACAGGAAGCTAGATGACATGGGCCCTTGGCCTGATCCAGCAGGGCTCTTCTTATGTTCTTATTTTCTAATAATGGCAGCAGGTCAGGAAACTGTCTTTTTTTTCCCCTGACAGAACATGAAAGGGACTTAAGATGGCCCATTTACTTTTATAAAAAGGGATCAGAGAAACTGGTTAGCTAGCCTAGTGTATGTCTGAGGAGAAAAATGCTTTGTTCCACTGGGACTCAGCCTGACTCACAAGGACAACCTGGTTCCATTTGCTGTCCTATGAAGCTGTGCCAGGGGATACATTCTGTGAATGTATTAGTTAGTGCCTGCTCGGAAACAGGTTTAGGATGGATATGCAGGTTTCACATTTTCTCATCAAAATAATTTTCTATAAAGGAATAATTGCAAAGATTTTAAAATCTTTGTGATGCCATATAATGCACATTGTGCCAATAATGCATCAATTATTGTGAACAATGGAAAAGTGATGAGAACCAGGAAAGACTTTACCAATATCTGATATGGTATACAAGTACCCAGTGTGGTGTAGTGGATAGAGTGATGAATGAGAACTTAGGAGACCTCAGTTCCAATCCTCACTCAGCTATGGAAACTCACTGGGCATGGAATATGGAACCGGTAAAACCACCCTCTAAGTAGAGTGGGACCCCACAGATGCAGAAGTGTTGATGCTGTACATGGCATGATGTCTGGCTTCCTATAAATATGAATTCTGGAGGGGGGATTTCGTATTTTCAGCCAGCAGATAAGTGAATCAGCAGATACTGATCCTGTGGATAGGGAGGTCCTACTGTATTTCACTTACCTTAAAAACCCATTAGAGTCACTGCACCTCAATTCTGACTTGAAAGCATATAACACACACAATGTAGTGAAACTGACCATTATGCCATGAACAATTTTTGAACAATCCTTGTGCCAGACTTTATGCCTTGAGAAGTTTAGAGGATTGCTTTCTTACCTTGGAGAGAAAAGCTTATCTTTTCATAATCCGCATGATATTGTATGTGGCCTAGTTCTCACATACTTCGCCATCATTTTACTGCAGTGACATCCATCGAGGCCTTCCATGTGTGGATGAAGTCATCACAGATGTAACTGCCCAGAGAAAAAATAGGTCCATAACTCTGTGGATTATGCAATGAGTGCTTCCTGGAAGGACAGATCCTGAAGCTGAGGCTCCAATACTTTGGCCATCTCATGAGAAGAGAAGACTCCTTAGAAAAGACCCTGATGTTGGGAGAGTGTGAAGGCAAGAGGAGAAGGGGACGACAGAGGACGAGATGGTTGCACAGTGTCATTGAAGCAACCAACATGAATTTGACCAAACCCCGGGAGACAGTGAAAGACAAGAGGGCTTGGCGTGCTCTAGTCCAGGGGTCCCAAACCTTGGGCCTCCAGATGTTCTTAGACTTCAACTCCCAGAAATCCTGGCCAGCAGAGGTGGTGGTGAAGGCTTCTGGGAGTTGTAGTCCACGAACATCTGGAAGCCCAAGGTTGAGGACCACTGCTCTAGTCCATTGGGTCACAAAGAGTCGGACACGACTTAATGACTAAACAACAACAACGTTATTGATTATCACCTCAGATGCAAAGTTTTGCAAAAGAATCAATTCCCATATTTAGCTGCCCATCTTCAAAGGTACAGTAACTAAATATAAATAAAGCAAAGGTTGTATATGTGTACCTAAGCAAGCTCTGTCAGTCAAGCAAATATACTCACGATTGAGCTCATACCTGTGCTTCTTCCATCTCCCCTTCGGAAGGAGTCAAACACGGAAGGCCAATGGTCTCTGGATGCGCATTTCGGATTGGAACCACAGCCAACATTGTATCCAAATCTTCAAGAGTTTCCACCCTATAAAAACATGCCTAGCAAATTACTTTTTAAAAGCAAAAGCTGAGATTATCACCCAACCACTAAGAACCTCTGAGTCAGAACTAGCTAAGGGAAAATGGTTTTGTGGCTCCATACTGTGCGTTTTTGCTCTTAAGTAGATGTAAGCTGAAATTTAATCTTTTCTGTACATGCTGGTAAAAAGATATAAATGTGTGGCGTAACAGCAGAACAAATTCAAAAGTGTCTTGAGTATTTATTTAAAAATTCCACCTTGTGGCCTGTTAAGGGAAAGCTGAAAAATATCCTTTTCAGATTACAGCACTAGTGAGTGGATGAGGGCTTATACATTAAATATTACACTCCCATCTATACATTTTAAAGGATTTATGGAAATCCAGTATAGTCTAGGGCTCAGGAGACCTGGATTTGAATCCTTGCTCAGTTGCGAAAACTCATGGTGTAGCTCCAGAAAATTCACTCCTTAAATATCTAACTTATTCTGAAAGCCCTATTAGGTTCCAGCCTGACAGTACATTAGGCACATGGAAGAGAGAAAGAAAATGCTTGTAATGCAGATCTCTGAAGCCTAGCTTGTAGTTTCCATTTGTCAGCATTATATTCAACTGCCCAACACCATGAGAGCCCATAACTCTGTGGGTTATGCAATGCCTACATTCCCATAATGAGCCCTCCCTATAAGAATGGAAGAGACAGGGAAGCAGGCTGGAAAAAACAAATGTGACAAATGGAAACTTAAAGCCTTTACACTAGTTACCTCTCTTCCTCCCAGCTACATGCTCTGGCTTCTAATCCAGAATTTAGGAAAATTAGTTTTTTGGACTAGAAACTCCCTAAGCCTCTAACTAGTATGGACATTGGCAATGCTGGATTGTGCACATTTATTATCTAAAAAGTAACTGTTCCAAAGTCGTACTTACCCAAGGGAAACACTTGTAGAAGTCCCTTCTTAAAAGGAGTTTGAACGGCAGACATTCTGTGCCACTCTAGCTCCACGCCAGCAATTTAGATCTTGGAGCAAAGCAGTAACAGCACCAGTCCCAGAAGTAGCTAGACAAGAGCTTACTCCCCCTGACAAGTTTATCTGGAGCAATGTGCTACCAAGAAGCAACAATTCTTTTTAAGAGGATGTGGAACTAATAAGCATAGTAATAGGGTGAGGGTAAATATTTTATTAACAATCCATAAAATAACATCACAATATTAATGTCCCTTATGCTATCAGGAAGGGTCCCTTATGCTATCAGGAAGGGTTGGCCCAAGAGGTGGCCTGCACACAACACCTTGATTTTATTAACAAGCCATAAAATAACATCACAATACTAATGTCCCTTATGCTATCAGGAAGGGTTGCCCAAGAGGTGGCCTGCACACAACACCTTTACGTTTATCAATTTGAGCTGAGTTTGTTAAGTATCTTTCTATGACATATTAATTGCATTTGCCTTGAATGACCTCCGTACCCTTCTCCGTGTCACATCATCCACATTACTGGGTGGTCTTGAGAAAACTGAGGCCGTTATGGAGAACAGATAATGAGCCTTAGTGTTTGGAGAACACAGATCTAGATGACACCTGACCATTACAGATACTCGACCAGTGACGAGTCTTGGAATTTGTCAAGATTTGGGGTAAGTGGGAGATGGTTCCGAGACAAGTCTGTCTTTCAGGTTGACAGCAAAGAGACTCACAGAGATGATAGATTCCTTCACCAGCAGCATATTTACAGACTATGTACAACTGAACTATGGACATCAGTCAACAGACTCAGTAACACACTTACAGTAAATAAAAT